CATATCTTTTTATATATTTTGAGTATATATATTATATTATATTATATTATATATTTTTTTTATCTTTTATTTTATTTGAATTTGTATGAAATTTTATACAAATTTAATTATAAATAATATAATTGATGAAATTTAACTTATATTCTAAAGATACATGTTAAAAAAATTTTAATTGTTTATTTAAAATAATTTATATAATATTAATAATAAAATTAATGTTAATTTTTATTATTTTTTATATAATTAATGTAAAAATATATCAATTATACTCATATTCTAAAAATAAAAATTAAAAAAATTCTTAATATTTTAAGTATCCCAAACGAAAAGAGACCTTCCATAATATAAAGCTGTAAATCGGTGCCACCTCATCATGCTTTGACGGGCAAGTCAAGGGCTTAACGTTTGAATAACGTCAGTTTAACCAAAAGGACTGTTAAGCTGAATTTTTTAAGTAGAGGGGCTAAGTTGCCATGGTTTAAAGTACAAGGGCTGACTTGCCACAACATTGCAAGTACAGTGGCTGAATTGCACCTTCTGCCCATTATTATTAATTTTTCCAACGGCTACGTTGGACCGTCGGAGTCGCGCGACGCTGCGAACAGCGCCGTCCCGCGCCCAGGCGATTGCTCCACTAAGCTGGCTGTCGATCTCTACTCCGATGTTCAACATTCGACCAGCATGAAAATGAAAATCGGAGAAGCAACCATAACATGCAACCTTCGTTATTCCAATCTCTGTTTGTTTCTCGCCAAAGGAAAAGGAAAAGAAAGAAAGAAAGCAAAAAAAATCCTGAATTTCATCTAGTCATGGCTCAGTAGCGCATTATGATAGGTTTTGATATCGGGAATAGAGTGGAAGAAGGCAAGCATCCATTTCCAGTTTTAAAGGTTGAATTTCAGTTGCCGCCTTTATATATTTTTTATTCTCCTTAAAACCTCAAGCATATTCCTAAAGTTCTCTACAGTAGTTTCATTGATCAGCACTAATAAGATTATTTCTTTCAGTATTTTAGGTTTACTTTATTGGCTTTTTGTAATTCCTTGGTTAGTGAAGCAGTGGTAGGTGCATGATGCTGTTCTAGTTCTTAAATTCCTTAATTCAAAAATTGTGTTTTCTAACATCATTCACGTAATGGGTTTTTCTCTTTCTTGAATAATTTGAATTTTCAGGGTCGGTATTGAAATTCCTACTCTTGAAGTCAGGTTTGAGCATCTAGATATTCAGGGGGAAGCATATGTAGGAAGCAGGGCCTTGCCTTCACTTTTTAACTTCTTTACCAATAAGATGGAGGTAAGTGACCTAGTGATGGATTATGGTTTTCCATTTTTCCCTCATAAAATTATTTGTATATGTGTACATATTTTCGGTGAAGATGTTCTCATATTTTAAATTTGTGTTTTATTTTGAAGGTCATCTTGTATTATCTGGGTTTGCTTTCTAGTAGAAAGAAGAAGGTAACCATACTTCGTGATGTAAGTGGAATCATCAAGCCTTGCAGGTGAGAAGTGATGTTCTATTGATAATCATAAAGATCCCTATCAATTTCGTATTGTTTGTGGATGCTTAAATTTTTCAGATAATTTTGGGCTTCTACATGTCATTTGTGTTTCTGTGACTTGTGCAGAATGACATTGCTTTTAGGTCCTCCAAGTTCTGGGAAGACCACACTTCTCTTAGCATTGGCTGGAAAGCTTGATCCTACCCTAAAGGTGGAAGTACCTATTAAGTATTAACAGCTTTAATTCTTGAATGGCTGTTTATGTTTAAGCTCACTGGTCTTGTTATTAAAGGCTATAAATATTCATTACAGTTTTTGGGGAGGGTCACTTACAATGGCCATGAAATGAATGAGTTTGTACCACAGAGGACTGCTTCCTATATAAGTCAATATGATCTCCATATACCTGAAATGACAGTGAGAGAAACCTTGTCCTTCTCGGCAAGATGCCAGGGGGTTGGCGAACACTATGGTGAGTGAGGTCTTTATGCTTGTTTCTTTGTGCAAATGAAGTTTTATGTGAATGATTTCTGCTGCAAAGTTCAAATAAGAGAAATTACCCATTTATGGTTTCAGATATGCTGGCAGAGTTGGCAAGAAGAGAGAAAGCTGCAAATATAAAGCCTGATCCTGATATTGATGTTTTCATGAAGGTGAGAAAGCCATTATTTTCTGACATAATTGTTTGACATGTAGCTAGGATTTGACCAACCCAGCTATAAAAGCATTTTGAAATCTTGAACAGAAATAAGAAAGCTTGAAAATTTTATCTTGTTTGTAGTTTAATGTTTTTTCACCCACAACAACCATTAACCATTTGACTGCCAATGACCAGCACTAGTTGTCAGTTGCTGGTAACCACATACTATTTATAGGTTCCTGCTAACAACATAAAATTGATTGGGGTTAACTCATTATGGTAGTTTAGCAAAATTTCTGTGAAATTGGGGCCAGAAAATTAGCTATTTTCTACAAGGTTAAAATGTTGTGCATACAATAAATGGATTGGGTCAGAAGCCAGAACTTCACCAACCTGTGATTGTTATGTGATGCTCAAAATTCTATTAAATCAATCTTAGAGGCTTCATAATTTGCAAATTCTGAACTATCAGTTGATTTGATACTGCTCACCCATTCTTACTTGACTTTAAATTTTGCAGGCTGCAACTCTGGAGGGCCAAGAGGCCAGTGTGGTCACTGATTATATTTTAAAGGTACTCTGGTAGTATTATTTGCTCATTAATCAATCTTAAAAACCAATGAAGAAAGATCCCTGAAACTTTTTTCCTTTTCAGGTTTTGGGACTAGACATTTGTGCAGACACCATAGTAGGGGATGCAATGTATAGGGGTATCTCTGGAGGACAACGGAAACGTTTAACAACTGGTAGACAAAATCTTTTTATTTTTATTTTTATTCTTGTATTAGTTGTCGCTGTTGCTGGTTCAAATTGATTGTTTGAAGAGTCTGACTTGATTCAATTATAGGTGAGATGCTGGTTGGACCAGCAAAGTTGCTGCTCATGGATGAGATATCCACTGGTTTGGACAGCTCAACGACATTCCAAATTGTTAATTCACTCCGGCAGTTCATTCATATTCTAAAAGGAACTGTTGTTATTTCACTCCTACAGCCAGCTCCAGAGACTTACAATCTATTTGATGACATCATTCTTCTATCTGATGGCCAGATTGTCTACCAGGGTCCTCGTGAGCATGTGCTGGAATTTTTTGAATCAATGGGCTTCAAGTGTCCTGAAAGAAAGTGTGTTGCTGACTTCTTGCAAGACGTAAGGGCCCATATGTAGCTTTTGTTTATTCAAAGTATTACCACAGGGAGGAAAGCTATTATCTTTAAGACATGCTTTCATGCATGTGAAGTTTCATTCTGAATCTCAACAATACTCCATCTGTTGCAGGTTACATCCAGAAAAGATCAATGGCTGTATTGGTCATGCAATGACAAGGCCTACAGTTTTGTCACGGTGGAGGAGTTTTCAGAGGCCTTCCAATCATTCCACGTGGGAAGGCAATTAAAAGGTGATCTTCTAATTCCATTTGACAAGAGCAAAAGCACTCCAGCTGTTTTGACAACTAAAAAGTTTGGTGTTACAAAGAATGAGTTGTTCAAGGCTTGCTTTTCAAGAGAACTTCTGTTGATGAAGAGGAACTCTTATGTGTACATTTTCAGGCTGATCCAAGTATGACTTAAGACTATCAATTATTAATCTTAATTTTCATAATTGATTATGACTAAATATTTTTCATCTTTTTAGTAGCTTGTATTGATGGCACTGATTGGATCAACTCTCTTTCTACAATCCAAGATGCACAAGGATACCTTAATTGATGGATTAATTTACATGGGTGCTTTGTTCTTCGATGTGATTATGATCACATTTAATGGATTGCTAGAGATTAGCTTTACAACTTTCAAGCTTCCTGTGTTCTTCAAGCAAAGAGATCACCTATTTTTTCCTGCATGGGCATATTCTCTTCCTACATTTATTCTGAAGATCCCAATAACATTTATAGAAGTCGGAATTTGGACAGTAATTACTTATTTTCTCATGGGTTTTGATTCCAATGTTGAAAGGTAAAAGAAAGAAGAAATGATATATATTTTGACAAGATGTCTAATTTATATTTTAATCGCCTCTGTCTTATTAATTGTATATG